GGCACGTCCCATACAATATGCACACCTCATATGAAAACAATTTACTTTAGCGTTTTGGAGAAATGTCCCATTATTACACTTTAGAGGGCTATAAAGACCCCATTTCTAATAACTAGAAGAAATTAATGTTCAGTTCTTATAGGGGACATCCCATACTAAATGCACACCTCATATGAAACCATTTTACTGCAGCGTTTTGGAGAAATGTGCCATTGTTTCACTTCAGAGGCCCATAAAGACCTCATTTCTAATAAGCAGAAGAAATGAATGGTCATTTCTTATAGGCAAAGTCCCATACTATATCCACGCCACATATTAATAATTTTTACTACAGCGTTTTGGAGAAATGTTACTAATAATGTTATTAACATTATTCTACTTCTGAGGCCTATAAAGACCTAATTTGTAATAAGTAGAAAAAGCCAATTAACAGTTTAGGGGATGTCCCATTCTATATGCACACCTGAATGAAACCATTTCACTGCACAGTTTTCGAGATATGGGACATTATTACAATTTAGAGGGCTATAAAGACCCCATTTCTAATAAGTAGAAAAAGCCAATGAACAGTTCCTATATGGGAAGTCCTATTCTACAGTATATACATACCTTATATGTAACCATTGTACTGCAGAATTTTCAAGATATGGGACACTGTTACGCTTTAGAGGGCTATAAAGATTGAATTTCTAATAAGCAGAGAAAACCAATGATCAGTTCTTATACAGGACGTCCCATTGTATATGCACGCTTCACATGAAATTACTGCAGCGTTTTTGAGATATGGGACATTATTACACTTTAAAGGGCTATAAAGACCCCATTTCTAATAAGTAGAAGAAATGAATTGTCAGTTTTTATAGGGGACATCCCATACTATATACACACCTCAAATTAAACCATGCAGCATTTTCGAGATATGGGACATTATTGCAATTTAGAGGGCTATAAGGACCCCATTTCTAATAAGTAGAAGAAATGAATGGTCAGTTTGCGTATGGGATCCTTATAGCCCTCTAATAATGTCCCATATCTCGAAAATGCTGCAGTAAAATGGTTTCATATGAGGTGTGCATATTGTATGGGACGTCCCCTATAAAAGCCAAGCATTGTTTTTTGTACTTAGTAGAAATTAGTTCTTTACAGGCCTCTGGAGTGAAATAAAGGCATATTATTTAACATGATTGATTTTTTCTCATTGTGAACTTATTTTGTTATTGGCGTTAAAACATTAAAACTCATCATTACATAAAAATGCATTCAAGAGTAATTGTCACTCTTGTACAGTAAAACAAATGGAAAAGCAATTTAGTTATTTAGAAAGACTAAATACTTTATTTTGTCTGTTTTCTACGAATCCCGATGTAACTCATCTACATAAAACAATGATTTGAAAGGTGATCTTTAAAGAAAAATATAGTACACACAACCGTCAAAGACACCAATAAATAACACGGATATTAAAGCAGAAGTACAAAACTATCTCGAGAAATGTCATCTTGTTATATTATCTCTAATTGCTGGGCGTATAAATGGAAAGCGCTCTGAAAACGCATTCTCTTTGTGTTGTTCCTGAGATTACCGTAATCATAGTAATGCACGCGCACACTAATTTCAATCACGGCTGGCTTGACCGTGTATTTCTGAGCCGAGGCTGGCTTGACCGCAGTGTGGTTTCCTACAGGAGCCCAACAGAAAGTTAACAAGGCAGGTCTCTGTTCAACATTGGTCTAATTGCATATTGCAGACAAATTACCAATCACAACCTCATAATTATGCAAAGTAGCTGCACCGCCGGCCCACCCGAAGCATCTTAATTGATAAAAGATAGCTATCGCACTTCAGGGCTCTAGACCTGGGGTTATTCGGTTCGATCTGGAGGGAGTTATTGATGAACAACAGGAGTTCAGTCTAACTCATGTTTGTGTTTAATGAACAAACTATTTTCCGGGTCAAATAAAATGCATTACCTCTGGGAACGTTTAAACTCACATCAGTGGTAATCCCAAATAACCCAAAGCCAAAGACCCTTAATATTTTTTTTTAAATGGGTAGCTGATTATCATACTGGAAGCATAATAAGTCTTAATTGTTTAGGGATTTTAGTGGCACTGAGGAGTCAGTGCAACTATTTGTCTTGAAACAAATTAATTTATTAAGTTGAGATCTTTATTTGGTGACAGTTTCTATTATGACTGAATGATATAGCTGAAGAAATATACATATCTTAATGTTTCTTAAGGAGTACAAATAGTCATTTTCACTAAAGGAACACATTTTTAATGTTACTCTCACCAAGGCTGCATTTATTTGATGAAAATACAGTAAAAACAGCAATAGTGTGAAATATTATTGCAATTTAAATGAACTGTTTTCTATATGAATATATTGTAAAATATAATTTATTACTGTGATCAAAGCTGAATTTGATTGATTTGAATTTTTGATTTGAATGATTTGAAACATACCTGATTATTATTAATGTTGAAAGCAGTTGTGCTGCTTCATATTTTTGTGGGAAACGTCATGCATTTTTATTTTTCAGGATTCTTTGATGAACAGAAAGTTCAAAAGAACAGCATTTATTTGAAATAGAAATCTTTTTTAACATTATAAATGTCTTTACATGTCTGCGTCTTTTGCTGAATAAAAGTATTAATAAAAAAATATATATATATTTTACTGACCTCAAATTTTTTAATGGTCATGTACAATTTTATGAAAACAATTTAAAACACAAAAAAGACACTCACAGACATTTTTTGCGATGACAAACAAAATCAATCTTAAATCAATTCACAGAACTTAAGAAATAAAAAATATTTGCCCAATTTTGCTGCTCAAAAAAAAAAAAACATAAAATGACTTGTTCTCAAAAACATCAAAACGTTGTAAATCCAAGATGAGTCGATAATAACTTTGATTCACTTTCTCAGAAGAGACTGTACATTTTAAATGCTATTTTGTCAACTTTAAGCAGTCCAGATGTTGCTTAATTATATACTGTCAACAACATCATTGCAGAAATCACATATATCAACTTATTTTCCAAACACAGTGATGTCCAGTCAAGAGCCCCATCCACATCGATTCAGGAACTCATTGACTGACGGAGGCTTTAACACACAGTTTTAATTAGAGACAAAAGTGTGACTGAACCGTTTCAAAGAGCCGTCAGAACTCCGCTTGAGTCTGTCTGGACTTTGACAAGATAACCATCAACACGTTTGTGATCAATTAATCAGTGTTAAAGTCCCCATCTGCTCTCGGCAGGGCTCTGCACCCATAGGACAGAAAAATCCGAAACAACATTTCTGTAATATCAACTGTTTCTCCTGGACAGCAAGAAGATTACATCAGATTTAATGAGAGACTTTTGCTTCTCAGATGTTTCTCCTAGAAAAAGAGCCCAGCACACCAAGAATCCAAAGTCTTCAATTAAAGGACACAGAACTCACATATTTCTCATCAAAAACTAAATATGCTGCTCTGTACTTTTGCTGTATGTTTCAATATGTCAAAAATTTGTGTATAAATGTATTTCTCCTAAGGATTTTAGAAGCAAATCCGGGACAAAGCTGATCCTTAAAGTCTGTTTTCTAAATGCATGTTACTGAACTTGTTGTGAACAATTCATCCGTGCATGTTTAATTTTTTTTAAATGCTTTGACCTCGTAATGTTGAATCAAAATGTCATAACTGGAGCTTCTCTGATCAGTTCATCTTAAACCCCGCCCCTGCCGGCTCACATTCATCTGCCTGCACATTTGAGTGCCACGCCCACATCTCAACACCCAATCAACAACTGATGCATTAGAACAAAGTCCCCACCCAACACTTTTTTCTTTCTTATGCAAAAATGCACTCAGGTGTACATCATAATACAGAAAAAAGATCTGTCACTCCATTAAAGGTATAAAAGAGCAATATCTGAGTGGTTTTGGCCCGGTAGGCCCATGGTTCAACTGTGCCAACTGGGACTGGCACATCTCCGCACCCTTCACGTCCTCGATTTCTGCTGAGCATGTCTAAACATCCACAGTCCATTTGTGACTACCAGGAGAATAACCCTCCATGCTCATTTTTCATTCAGATATTGTACAGAGCATGCAGAGATTGCGCTGGAGTCGATGCAGTTTTTAATACCTGTATGTGGTTACGTAGCAAACCACATTCATTAAAACACTGTGTACTTGTAGTGTAAATAATTTCAAAAATATTAAGATCATATGGAAGCGCATGTTAGCCAAATAAGAAAAAAAGTCATGCTTTGGTAAATAATAATTATGAAAGTCAAATTTCAAAAAGCCAATATTATGAGATAAAGTTGAAATTTGTAATTATAACAAATATTGACTGCTATAATTTCTACTTTTTACATCATAATTATGACTTTTATTTCATAATTTTGACTTTTCATCTTATAATGTTCACTTTTAATGTCATAAGACTTTTATCTCATAATTATAACTTATGTCATAACTGTTTTTGTCATAATTATGCAGATTTTTGAGATTTTCAGATCTCAATTTTAACTATTTGTCATATCGACACTTACGCCATAATTTACTTTTTCTCTCAATTTACTTTTTCTCTCAATTTCAACTTTTTATGTCATAATTATCTCATAATGTTTGCTTTTGATGTCATAATTAAGAGTTTTTATCTCATGATTATGACTTTTTACGTCATAAATTACTTTTACATCATAATTTAGACTTTTTATCTCAATTTACTTTTTATCTCATAATTTCTGACTGTTTTATGTCATAATTATGACCTCATCATTTCTGACATGTGTCATAATTATGACCTTTTATCTCATAATTTTGACTTTAATGACTTTTTAATGTCATAATTATAATTTGCCAAAGCATGATTGTTTTCTTGTATGGTGGAAATGTGGTTCCATAGCTAACAGATATGATATATATGGCTATTTGTGTATATGCATTTGATGGGGTATATATGTGAGACTGTGGTGGTGACTGTTGACGTACCTCTTCCCACTGGTGAATGTAGCGGATAAGCCGGGAGAGACGCAGCAGCCTCAGCAAGCTCAGGATTTTAGTGAAACGCACAATCCTCAGGGCTCGCGCCGTCTTATACACCTCCGAGTCTATGCCCTTCTCCACGATCAGGAAGATATAATCCACCGGAATGGACGAGACAAAGTCCACAATAAACCAGGTCTTCAGGTACTTCTTCTTGATGGTCTTGGGGTCCAGGATGATGTCGGAATTGTCCTCGATAATGATGCCCGTGCGGAAGTTGAGCACCAGGTCCATGAGGAAGAAGGTGTCGGAGAACACGTTGAAGAGGATCCACGGCGTGGTCGTCTCGTCTTTGAAGAAGGTGATGCCGACGGGAATAATGATCAGGTTGCCCACCATGAAGAGAAGCATGGTGAAATCCCAGTAGAACCTGCAGGAGAGAAAAGCAAAGAAATTGGCTTTATCCAACACCATCTTTACGCCGTAGAAAGTAAGTGGTAGGTTTATGTGATTTTACTACTGTACATTTGTAAACCCTTGGGTGATGTTCTCCTTTGTATATTTTAGGTGATAACATTAATTGTTTCACAATGACAATAATGAGTATTACAATTTAAATCCGAATTCAGTCCTATTAACATTTTGCATGCATCATATAAATGCATAAACCATTTGCTATGCAAGAGAAAGACATTATTCCAGAAATCTCAAAAAGACAGCTATTTACATTTTTGGACTTTACATTAGAAATGCGTTAACTAATATTAACTATCAATGAGCAATACATTTATTATTCATTAATCTTTGTAAAAATAAGTCAATAAATATGCTATTTTTATAACTATTTGATGACTATTATAAATTAAATTAAATTAATAGAATTCATTATAAATATAACTATTGGATTAACATTAATTTGTAAGTATACTGTGTATATTTCGAACAAAAGTAATATTAGATAGATTTTAGATGCAAACAATTGTGAAAAGTCAAGCTATTGAAACAAGGAGGAGACATTTTTCAAAGCAATTTTCAAACATTTAAAGAAGCGTCATGACATGCATTTTCAAGATTCTCGTGACCTACATTTTCTAATTCATGCTGCGCTTGAGTGCTTTTGTTAAAGACATGAATGAAAATTAATGAGTCAATTAAACTTCTGACCAAAAATTAGGAAAATTCAGCAAAAAAAAATTGCAACAGCAGGCATCTCCAGTATTTCCAGATGAGAATAGCAGGAAAAGAACACAAACGTCTTAGTTTATTCTGATTATGCTATTTAAATGCATACAAAAATATTCTGATAGTTGTCAAACCAATGAGAGTCCAATGTGAACATTTCTGATGAGAATGCTATGCATTTATAAGGATAATTATTGCAGCATGCATATCACCCACATATTAAACAGGTTCTGCTTTGAAAACAACACTAAAAATCAATAACATTAGGGGTCCAGGATGATGTCGGAATTGTCCTCGATAATGATGCCCGTGCGGAAGTTGAGCACCAGGTCCATGAGGAAGAAGGTGTCGGAGATCACATTGAAGATGATCCACGGCGTGGTCGTCTCGTCTTTGAAGAAGGTGATGCCGACAGGAATAATGATCAGGTTGCCCACCATGAAGAGAAGCATGGTGAAATCCCAGTAGAACCTGCAAGAGAGAAAGAAAACAAATTGGCTTTATCTAACACCATCTTTACTCTGTAGTAAGTGGTAAGTTTATGTGATTTTACTTCTGCACATTTGTAAACCCTGGGATGATGTTCTAGTTTGTATATTTACAAGGTTAATAACATTAATAGTTTACAATGACTCTGTTTACATGCACAAAAGTATTACAATATAAATCAGAATTCAGTGCTATTAACATTTTGCATGCATCATGTACATGCATAAACCATTTGCTATGCAAGAGAAAGACATTATTCCAGAAATCCCAAAATTAAGAAAATTCAGCATAATAAATAGAAAAAGCACACATCTCCCATATTTCCAGATGAAAATAGCAGGAAAAGAACACAAATGTCTTGGTCCAATGTGAACATTTCTGATGTAAATATTACATATTTATAAGGATTATTATGGTAAAACTCTACATTATAATGCATTGCACTATGCATGTCACCCACATAAGGTACATTAAACAGGTTTGTTTTGAAAACAAGACTAAAAAATCAATAACATTAGCATTGCAAAGATGCATGCAACAATGCATTACAACGTGCTGCAGAGAATGCTTTATAGTGACCTTATTATATATATTTGAGAGTCTCACACGGCTGTGACTGGTGTAAGTCTATTCCTGAGGGTCTGAAATAAAGATCTGCGTGGAGCGGATGTGATCCGTTTCCACGTGGTGCTCGCACACGTGTGCAACTCAAGGTCACAGCAGAGCGCGCTAAGGTGCATGCTGACTCATAACTGGAGACTGATGCAACTCGTACACAATGGCAGCTTCTTTCCGCACGGTTTGCACAGCTGATCGGCTCTGTGTTGAGGGTATTTGATATGTCAAGATGACTTTGAATGGAGTGGGAGTATTGAAATAAATATGCATCAGTTTCAGGTTTTCTATGCAAAATGGTACAGATATGTGCATGTTATTGCATAGCTTGACTAATTGCAGAAACTGCATGCATATTTTCATCATCAACAATATTTGTCTATTATCTGATGAAGTCTCAATGACAAAAAGTGCCAGATTAAACCACATAAGCACAAGTACTGCAGCATTCAGTGATCTGCATCCAACATAATCACTGAAAGTTACAATGAATAATACTCACATGTTGCATAAATGTCAAATGCAACCTGATGCATGAACCTCAAGCAATGCAAACCATGTAAAGAGTCATCCAGTGGTTTTCATAGCATGCTAAACATTTTGAGTCCAGACTGACTGTGGTGCTGAAACGATGTTCCTCACTGATACAGACATAATGCATGACAGCATGACCATCTGTAGACTAACACTTGACTGAAAGTTTGGCACGTCTTAATTGTATTCATTGAGGTTAATGCTTCAACATCTTAAAGCCTTGAGATATATGCTTTATATGATCGTGAGCTGATCTGAATGAATGCGATTATCTTGAAATATAATTCAGCATGATATCTACTAGACAAAATTGCTTATGGTCTCACATCGTTATCTAGTCAGGTAGAAATAAATCTAACTCAGCATGGACAAAAATGCTTATGTGCCACAATGTGTATGGGCAAAAAACACAATGCTATTGCTTTTTTTTGTTTTTCTTTTTATAACCATAACAATAGCCTGGTCAGATTACATCCCTCAGTTATAAGAGGATAATACGATAAAAAAATGCATTTTTTTTTTTTTGGAAGTGTGTGTATAAGTTTTAATGGCTTTTGAGGGCCAAATTGTGTAAAGTGCTTTGTGAGGACATTTATTTAAAATGCCATAAATCAGCCAAATCCTATTTATTTTAAAACTACTGATCAACAGGTTTCCTGAGGCTTTGGTTTAGGGTTCAGAAGTCTGAGACCATTGATTAAAAAAAACTTTTATTATTAATACAAATGCTCAAAATGTAATCATTAGCATAAATTTGAGAACATCTGTTGCTTTATTGACGGCAGTACTGGAGCTGACATAAATAAAACCTGATGCTCAATGTCACTAATAGTGCAGATCTTAAAACTCTCTCATGCATCTTAAATATTGTTTAAATGTTCCAAAATTTAAATGGAAAAACACACACACACACACTTTTGGATGCCTGATTCATTAATGGGTCAAATTTGGTCCTTAGATGCCATATTCTCATGCAAAGTTTCTCCAAGCAGATGCTCTTACCTGAAGTCGCTGTAGGGGTGAATGATCCAGTTGCCCGCCGATTTCACGCGCTCCTGCTCCTTCTCCACCGCCTTCTGGCTCCCGTACATGCGCAGGGAGAATTTATTGACCCCGGGCTGCAACATGTTGCTGAACTGCCGCTGCATGAAGCTCGCCTGGCTGCCCCGGGTCTCGCCGTCCTCCTGAGCTCCATCCTCGGATTTGAGGAAGGTCACCGAGTTCCGGGGCTGCTGCCCGCCGTGGATGGAGGACGAGGCTTTCCTACTGGAGGCGTTGGAAAAGGACACTTTGGAATCCTTCTTCTCCGGGACCCCGGGGTTCGAGGCGTCTTGCCCCTGCATGCTGGCCGCGTCCACGCTGGTCATTGAATTGCACGCTGCCCGCTTGCTCCCGTCCGGCTTGGACATGATGGACCGGAGGCTCCCGGTGCCGGAGTCCCGCCTGCACTCCCCGTTCTTGTTGCATTTCATGCTGGAAAGCGGTGCTGAAGGATTGCCGTCACCCTCGGCAGCATTACAAGCCTCTACCGTCACGGTGGCCACTACGGTAGACGCTTTGCCTCCTCCTCCTCCGCCCTTAACGGTGTCGTGGCGACCCGCAGCAGCAGCAGCAGCATCAACATCACCCGGGCGCGCGTCAGTGGAAGTGGAGCTCCTGGACGCGCCTCCTCCTCCTCCTCCCGGTGCGCAGCTCTTAATCTGGATGCTGCTCCCTCCTCCTGCTCTTCTCAGCCGCGGATGCTGAAACTTGGATTCCTTCTCCGCGTCGTCCGTCTCCTCCATGGCGACGTGATTGGGTTTCAGGTTCGACCCGGCAGCATCCGACTCCAGGCAACTCTTGGCGGTGCTGTTCCCGGTGCAGTGGTACGCGGGCGCGCTCTTATGGGCCGCTTTCCTCGCCGTGGCAACATCCGAACCGGGCGAGAGCTCATTCCGGTCCATGTCATTCACCGGATCAGATTTGGCCTGTAATTATCTTTGCGGGAAACCAATCAGCACGGATGATGGGTGAGAGAGAAAGAGAAAGAGAGAGAGAGACCTACGTGATTTCTTTGCCAACAAAATGAAACAGCTCTTAGTTTATTAACTGTTTGTTGGGTCACTCCTTGAGCGCATCTTCCATTTCAATAAGTACATTTATGTAGGATTTTAAACATTCTATCAAATAAACACCGTCTTTCGCGCCATTTCAACCTATATTAATAAATAATAACAGGTTGCGACAAGCTAAATGTCTTAGTAGAGGTTTAATTCAGGCCTTGTGCTCAAGGTCATGACATTTTTAAAACGCTTATTAGAAAGAGAATCCAGTTCTGATATACCAAGATTCGTGATAAATCAGCATTGAGTAATAAAAAAACATTTAACAGAAACTAAAATCATGCATAAATGACAAATATATACAATACATAGCGTCAGAATTAACTTCCTACACTCAGAAAAAAAAAAGGTACAAAAGCTGTGACTATGGCGTTACCTTTTCAAAAGCTACTAAAATATACCATTTAGGTGTTAATATGTACTCTTTAGTTACTAATGTGTACCTTTAAGGCACTAATATGCACTTACTAGGGTAAATAAGGTACAAAGGTGTACCTTTTTCAAAGGAATCACACAAGTGGACAGCTTTTGTACCTTTTTTTCTGAGAGTGTAAAATTATGGTAACTGTACATTATTTAATAACAGAGGTGGTATAGTTACACTTACAGTGTTTTTAAAAACACAATGTGGTCAATTAAAATAGAATTTATAAACGGAGATAAAATTAAAATAAAGTACTACCAAAACTGGGAGAAGTTTGTTAACATTGATCTGGGAACAGGCCAAAAAACTACAGATAAAGAAAATATTAGAAAATAAAAGTTAGGGCCTATATGCATAGTTATTGTTTTTACGTGCACATAATAGCATAATAAAATAAGAGCCACATTAATTATGCATATGCTAACACAGTGGTTCCCAACCCTGGTCCTGGAGGCACCCCAACACTGCACGTGTTGCATGTCTCCTTAATGACATTTAACAGAGTGAAATCAGACTGCAGCGCGGCGCCACCTACCGGCGCACAGACGGAACTACAGCAGCTCACAGAAAAGAGCTCTGGAGAACCACTGGGGTCCTTCAGCTTTAAAGACCTGTTGAATGTTTTCAGAAACCATAAAGCGCAAACACACTTTTCAGACCTCCATCAGAAAAACTACAAAGTGTAAGTTGAAGAAATTTGCAGTCGGTAAACCACTATGCCATGACCTCATCTGCCCAGATGTTCTCAAAACTAATGCAGCAATAATCTTCAACACTATGTTATATCAAACACTCACAAAAAAAAAAAAGTACAAAAGCTGTCAACGGGGCAATACCTTTGCATACCAGTGTTGCTATTTATACTAATCTGTATCATTAATATACTAATATGTACACTTTAGATAATAATTAGATACTAATGTGTACCTTTAAGGTACTAATATGTAAATAAGTAGGGGTAAACAAGTTACAAATGTATACCTGTTGAAATAGTACCACCCTAGTGACCATATAGATATTAGCTAAAATTTTCAAAAATGGTTGCAATGGAAAAATACAAAAAGATAGAAAGAGAACATTTATAAAAATCCAGTGGGACGACAAAGGCCACATTTGTGCAAATATATAATTTAAACATATTAATATATATTATTACAAATATTAAATAAATAAATAATAATATATATATATATAATTATTATTATTTTTTTTTTTAATTTTCCACTTTCATTTTAATTTTATTTAGTCTTAGTCATTTTGTACTTATTTTGTAGTTTTTGTTTTGGGGGGTTTTTTCCAGTAGTTTTTGCTGCATAATTTGAAATATTTCCTCATTTTACTAATTTTTCCAGGTTTAAATGGAAAAAAAAAATCCCAGATTTTCAATGCAAGAATCAGATCTCACTTAATGATCTCGGCTTTCATAATAGACACATGCATGACATTAACATCAAGAGAAAGCTCATTTGTCATCACAAGCCCTGCATCTGTTCTTGTTCTTGACCACTTTCGTGATCACAAAGCATCTTCCTGAGCACATCATCTCCAAAAAGCAAGTCATCTTCCTTCTTGAATATTGTTGATGCTGACCTACAGTAGCAGACTACAGACATTAATGAGAATGCCGGCTCACAGAAGTCCTGCAGACTGTCAGATCTTACCTTGTTTTCCCTGGCGCTGACGTGTGACCGAAGCCAGCCAATGCAGAGAGTGAAGCGCACCTCCAGAACAGCAGCCCGGAGCAATGACATTGAAAGGTTGTCTCAACCCGGCGGAGGGAGAGAGAGGTGGGACGCCGCGTCCCTTCAGTGATGGAGCGTTTGACCTCTGGAGGTCAGCGGGGTCGCCATGCTCCCAAACCACACGCTCTGCTTCCCACTTGTGAAGTGTTTAACCTGAGCAGCTCCGGATCAATCTCTCTCTCTCTCTCTCTGCAGAACTGAATGCCGGCACTCACTTCCTGGTATGACACATTTAAGGATGATGCTTCGGCTTCATTTGCATAAAAGGCAAAGTTCCAAGAAAGCAGGAGATCTGTGGATCGATCTTGGAAGCTTTTCAGATTCAGCAGATCAACAGGATATCTACAGGTTTTTAGCAATGTGCTCCAGTTATCGGTGTCATTACTGGATAAGGATTTTTAAAAATCATTTTATAGGCATTGCATTTAAGATATTTTTTATTATTATTGCTGAGCATAACAGGAAAAACACATTCACTATGACTTGCCAGTTTCCCTCATATTTCCAGGTTTTCTGTGATTGTGGGAATTGTGCATCACACACTGAACCGTGGAGGATGATTTGAAAGGCAGGAAAGTCATTTTTGGTAACTGAAATAAAATAAAAATAGATGGAAAAAATCTTGCCTTGGCAACTAACTGAAATAGGTTTAATTAGCAGTACTAAACTAAAACTGAAATTAAAAATTACCGCAATATTGAAATAATTACATTAAAAAAAAGTAATAAAAATGACAAAAGCACTTAAAATTACAAAAACAAAACTAAAATTAAAATGAAATCTTAAAATATAACGTTTAATTGTTACTAATAATTTTGTCAATATTTATTATAGACAAAATATAAATATTAGATGAAAAGCTTAAAGAAAATTAGAAATGTTGCCTTGGCAACCAACTAAAATGAGTTTAAGTTGAAGTACTAAAACAAACTAAAAAAAGGAAAAAGTCTAATGGAAATATTTCTTAAAAAGCTAATAAAAAGTAAAAGTAAAAAGCACAACAAAGTTACAAAAACTAACATTAAAGTTTAATTAGCAGTACTAAACTAAAACTGAAATAAAAAATTACTGCAATATTGAAATAATTACATTAAAAAAAAGTAATAAAAATGACAAAAGCACTTACAATTACAAAAACAAAACTAAAATTAAAATGAAATCTTATAATATAACGTTTAATTGTTACTAATAATTTTGTCAATATTTATTATAGACAAAATATAAATATTAGATAAAGCTTAAAGAAAATTAGAAATGTTGCCTTGGCAACCAACTAAAATGAGTTTAAGTTGAAGTACTAAAACAAACTAAAAAAAGGAAAAAGTCTAATGGAAATATTTCTTAAAAAGCTAATAAAAAGTAAAAGTAAAAAGCACAACAAAGTTACAAAAACTAACATTAAAATAAAATCTGAAAATATAAAAACTAGATGAAAAACAAACGAAAATGAGAAATGTTGATTTGGCAACTAACTCAAATAAAAGTACTATTGAAGTACTAAAACTAAGGTCTAATCGAAATTTGAAAAAAATAAAAATGACAAAAGCTCAAATTAAAATACTGAAAATATAAAAGTCCATTCAAAACATGAATACTAGGAATACTAATGAATTCTATAATATTATATAAGTAATACTAAAATAACACTGAAGATGTATTTGTTTAGTGTATACTTTAAACTTAAGACAATTTAGTGTGCAATCAAGAAAAGTTTTTGCAGGAAAATGATTTTATTTGTGGTAAAGCTCAGTGCTGTGCACCAACACTTAAAAATAAAGGGTTCTTCTATGGCATCACTGCAAAAAAAAAAAAAAACCACTTTATTTTTAAGATAAGCATAAGAGCAGCAGCAAGGCAGGTCACTAACTGATTCAGTCAAAATAGCTCATAGGTCTCTATACATGGTTAATTTGGTGGTCTGATAAAAATAAAAACACACTGCGAGAGGGAGGAGAGAGCTCTCGGTCTGAAAACACTCAGTAGTGCAGTACAGGGACTGCTTATGCTGTTTATAGCCAACAATCAATTAACTTCAAAATCAGTTTGCAGCAACAGGCTGGTCACTCTTGCAGATAATCACAATTAGCAGCTGCTTGGCTGGAGATCAGACAGACGCATGCAGACACACAGGCGGCTGGCTGATAACACACAGACTGTAGAAGCAGAGTAGAGCCGTTACATACAACTCAACACTCAAAAATAGCTGAAATTTTCATTTACTGAAAGCTGTAAAAACAACTTGTACTGAATCTTTGCTACTTTCTGGCACGAGACAACATGCCGTCAAGCTTGTGCTGATCATTCAGTCTGATCTGAACAGGCTGACATTACCGCACAGCACACATTATTTGATGAATCTGTCATAAGATTCAGCTCTTGAAGCAGCGCATATTATAACAGACCGTAAACCCACCACCGGTGAGATTAAAAATGCAGCAGCAAATGAACAAAAACGAGCAAATAATGGCACCTTAATTGCTGCTCTAGGAATTAGAGAGGGTGTAAAATGAAAACTAAATTATTAGAGTTTTGGTTACATAGTGCTAAAAATAAAACGTCATTATTTTTAAAAAGTTGCAATATATACCTGCATACCAGTGTTGCTATTTATGTACATAGATTTACATGACTTTAAAGACAATAAATGGTAACGGAAATAAAATATAAACAAACGAATTTAAAAATTTCAAGTAAAACGAATATTTAAAAATTATAATAAATACAAAAAAATATGAAAAACCATTAAAATTAGTTATTTCTAATTTTCAGTTAAAGTACTAAAATGACTTTAAAATTAGAATAATAAATACTAACTACATATATATATATACATATATATATATATATAAACTATGTACATTCATTTAAATAAAGTTAATGTTACTGAAATAAAATATAAACTAATTTCTAATTTTCAGTTAGATTAGGATTAGAATTATAAATTAATACTAAAAATTCGAAGAAAAAAAAACACATACATTTAATCTAATTTAAATAGACAACTATTAACTGAAATAAAATATAAACAAACTTATTTCGAATTTTCAGTTAGTTTAAGTCCTAAGTTTTAAAAATGTCTATTAGAGTATAAATTAGAACAAACCCAGAAACTCTGAGCTTAGTTTGTGTTCGTGATCTGTGGAGAAACCAATGACAGATTTTATGAAACATTTCATCATCAGCAGTGATACATTACATTCATTCAGTCATTCATTTGTTTGTTCTTCTGCTTTATTATGATTTACAAAAACAAACCATTTAACTTAAAATAAGTTAAAAAAAAATGAAAAAATGAATATGTGTGGCAGACTGAGAGAAGACAGCTGAATGTGAGGAGATTTTTTTTTAAAAAGAAAAAAGAAAGAGTGAGAGTGAGAGAAAGCGAGAGAGAGCTTTTATCACGTTATCGGGCCATGTGCCTGTTTGGATAAAGGCCCAAAAAAATGCAGAGTGAAATAGAGAAAATCTATTTCTCTCACGAGTTTTAAGGATGATGCTAAATGTAGAAAATCATATCAAATATTGCCAAAAGAATTCACACGTTTCTGTTTGTTCAATGTTCTAATAATCTTCGCAAAACAAAAACATACTGTGCAAATAAATATTAGGAGAGAAACCTGCACTCAGTGTTTTCCTCAGTCACAGATGTTCTTGGATCACTTGGCTTTTCACAATATGAAGCAGTTTTTTGTTTTTTTTATGTTTTCAATAAATATGTTTTCATATATATGGTTGAATCACACAAAAAAAACATGTCCAGGTTTTATTTAACCCCCAAATCAAAAGAAAATAAAAATGTATTATGCCTAAAATGACTATATTTGAGTTATTTTCATGAGAATTAAGCATTTATTTACCATAATGCATTCAGATGTGTTACTCAGACTCATTACTGTAATGCAGTATTACAATATAAAATGATTTATCAAATTAAAGGCAGTACAACTAACAATATAATCTATAAACATGAATTCAATAATATTTTTTCGTATTTGATTTTTTTTTTTTTGCATTACAGCAAACTGTGCTTTATTGTCATGAAAAATTTATTAAAAAATTCAAAAGTAACAAAAAGTTATTGGTGGTTCTAAAATAGGCTTTAGCATAATAGAGTGTCTTTTTTTTCTTCTGATTTTGAGGTGAAATGTGACTGGTTTTGTGAGATTCACCCATACGCACGTTCACATATCAGCCACTTTTATCCATAAAATAAAAATCAAATGATAAAAAAAGGTTCTATTTGATCGCGTCCCTCTCGAGAGACACAAAGTCTGCTTCTAAAATGCAGTTCGACTCAGTGTGTCTTCAGATCTGGCACTGCGTTGCGTAACATCCTCTTCCTCTTTTCCTCACGCTTTCTGCTGATTAAAACCACGTCACGAGGACAGGTGCCGCCCAAACCTTGAGGCATGACCGCTCTGAAGTTCAACGGTGTAAAAAAAAGCAACGAAACGCTGTCTGAAGCAACAGAAGAGTGTATTTTTCTCTTGGGGGTTTGGCGTGCTCTCTGACCTGTCTGGACCCGCTTCGGGGCTGGTAGAGGTGTGTTAGTAGTGATGGGCAGGTTCCGAGGTTTGCGTTCAGCCCTGGTTCCACCGTGTCGTGGATCCGTCACCGGTGGAGGGGAAACGGTGTGGTGTGGTGTGGGCCAGGCCGACGCGACGTGGCGCTGAGATGATGGTGATGATGACGACGTGTTGATGTGTTCAGGATGTGGGCTGAGCTCTTACGAGTTATTGGTGGAATTCTCGTTGCCTGGAGAGCTGGAGGAGGAAGAGGAGGAGGAAGAGGGGGTGAAATTCATCCCTGACAGGCCAGGCGGATCCGTGGCTGTGTTCTGCCCGCTCAAACTCTTCCTGCACACCGGACACGTGTCATGCTGGGAAACACAGAGACAAAGCGTTTAACTCGCTGTTCTTTTGAACTTTCTACTCAAAGAATCCTGGAAAAATGTATCATGGTTTCCACTAAACAGCACAACTTGATAAGAAATGTTTCTTGAGCAGCAAACCAGCATTTTAGAATGATTTCTGAACAGTTATTTTAGTCTCATTAAGATACTAGTACAGTTTTTATTATAATATTTTGAATTTTATTTTTATATTTTCAGTTTTCATTTTAGTTAGTTTTAGTAATTTTGTTGCGACTTTCATTTTTAAAAGTATTTACTTATTATATATATTTATATATATATATATATAACTACAATAATTAATATATTATATATTTAATATATTTGTTTACATAATTTTACATGATATTTTAATTTTAAATGTCTATATGGATTTCATTCATTTTTATTTCATTTTTAAATTTAGCTAACTAACAACCTTGTTTCCAAAGGATCATGTGACACTGAAGACTGAATAATGCTGAAAATTCAGCTTCGCATCACAAGAATAAATTACGTTTTAAAATATATTATATATTTAATATATTTGTTTACATAATTTTACATGATATTTTAATTTTAAATGTCTATATGGATTTCATTCATTTTTATTTCATTTTTAATTTTAGCTATTTTTTGTCAAAGTAAATGAAGCTAGCTTAAATTTTAAAAAGTTTGTTTTTTATCTTATTTTATTTAAAGTTTAATTTATTTCAAGTAACAGTGTTTTATTATGATTTTAGTTTAAGATTTAGCTAACTAACAACCTTGTTTCCAAAGGATCATGTGACACTGAAGACTGAATAATGCTGAAAATTCAGCTTCGCATCACAAGAATAAATTACGTTTTAAAATATATTCAAATAGAAAATAGCTATTTTAAATTGCAATAATATTGCACATTATTACTGTTTTTATTGTATTTTTTTTATCAAATAACGTGCCATTAAATAATGGAATTCATTGTTTTATTTTATTAAGATCAACATTTTTGATTGAATTGATTTGATTATAGTATTATAATATTAACATTAGAATAGTTAAAGGGGTCATATGATGCGATTTCAAGTTTTCCTTTCTCTTTGGAGTGATTATAATATTAACATTAGAATAGTTAAAGAAAATGTACTGTATGAAAATGAGCTTGAACTTTAGGTTGACGCTAACTCACTGAGCAATGACTAACTTCAGCTCTTTATTCCCATCCTGTCCATTTTCTTGTCATCAAGTTTCTGAGTTTGACAAGAGCATATTTCTAAAAGCCTGGAGTATTATTTTTACACAAGTACTTTTTAATTGCAACACCTGCATATTCATTTGAAGTAGTAACAGAGTTCAAAGGTGCTGTATAACAGGATGAACTCAAACACAGCAGCAGGAGTTATTAGCAGAAATTCAATTAGCAAACTCCTGCCTTTCTGTACAGAACCACGAACCATGAAATTAATGTCACAAACTACAAATTGAAACAGACTTTATCTGGATCACTCATTAACGGACAAATATAAAATGTCAAAGTTGTAAATATTTTGAGTTTAGATGATTAAAAACGCAATAAAAGAGAAGAGAAACACACCTGCTCGAGCCAGGGAACTATACAGTCGTTATGAAAGAGATGATTGCAAGGAAGCTGTCTAACATTCTCTCCTGCGCTGTAGTCTTCTTTACAGACAGGACACTCTAGACCAGCACCTGAACCACAAAACACACACACGTCAGAAATAGCAACACATCACAGATCATCACTATATCACAGTAAGATTCTGATAAGGTCAGTAAGATTTTTCATGCTTTTGAAGAAGTCTCTTCTGCTCATCAAGGTATCAATTATTTGATCAAAAATACAGTAAAAACGGTAATATTGTGGAATATTTTTACAATTTAAAATAGCTGTTTTCTATGTGAATATATTGTAAAATGTAATTTATTTCTAATAATAAATTTATTTATTATTTTACTTACTCAAAACCCTTTTGCCTTCACTCATCCAACCTAATACTCATATTATAAACAGATTCCTTGCCACTGGTTATGTTCCACTAAAAGTAGCTGCCATCACCCCAATCCTTAAGAAGCCTGGTCTTGATAACACAGATCTGAACAATTTTAGACCAGTATCAAACCTCCCATTTGTTGCTTAAATACTTGAGAAGGTAGTTGCAGCACAACTGCAGTCTCATTTAGAGAAACAATCTTTATGAGCAGTTTCAATCTGGTTTTCATCCCTCTCACAGCACAGATACAGCACTTTTAAAAATGGTTAATGATCTCCTTCTGGTTTCTGATTCAGGTGCCCGCAGTATCCTGGTTCTCCTTGATCTGAGTGCAGCCTTTGATACTGTTTGCCACTCTGTACTTCTTTCTCGATTATCTGCTATAGGTATCACTGGTGCTGCTCTTCAGTGGCTAACTTCCCATCTATCGGATAGACAGCAATTCGTTAGGATAGATAAGAATAGATCTCGCACTGTTACTATTTCCCGTGGTGTCCCCCAAGGTTCTGTACTTGGTCCACTTCTATTTCTCATTTACGTGCTGCTACTGGGTCAGATCATCAGACGTCATGGTCTCAATTTTCATAGCTACGCTGATGATATTCAAATCTATTTTACGGTTCAACCCAACTCAGCTTGTCCATCCCTTTCTATGGTTTCCTGTCTTCAAGAACTTAAAACCTGGATGTCAGATAACTTTTTACAACTAAATGCAGACAAAACTGAAATCCTGCTGGTTGGCCCTAAATCACAGAGCTCCTCCCAGCATGACATCTTCATAGATATCGATTGTGTCCAGATTAGGCCCTCAAAAACTGTGCGAAATTTGGGAGTGTTGTTTGACTCTGCATTATGCTTTGATTCACATATTGGTCAGATTGTTAAATCATGCTTTTACCAATTGCGGAATATTGTTCGTATACGTCCCTCACTTAATTTTGGAGATGCTGAAACTATTATCCATCTTTCTGCTCTTCTATTTCTCAACTTCTGTTTGTATGACATAAGACCACCATCATTACTCCAGTCTTCAGTGTCACATGATCTTCAGAAATCATTCTAATATGCTGCTCAAGAAACATTTCTGATTATTATCATTGTTGAAAACAGTTGTGCTGCCCAAAATTTTTGTGGAATCTGTGATGCATATTATTTTTCAAGATTCTTTGATTCTTCTTTGAACAGAACAGCATTTATTTGAAATAGAAATCTTTTATAACATTATAAAATTTCTTTACTGTCACTTTATATCAATTTAATGCATCCTTGCGGAATAAAAGTATGATTTCTTTAAAAAAAAAAAAACGTTGTGTCAGTGTGTGTGTACTTAATATAATGTACTATCTATATACACTGTGAACATGTATATTTATATATTTTACACATTTTTAATACATATCTTATTACACAAAAGTATGATTTTGCACACAAAAAACACCTGAGACATAAATACAGGATCTCTGCCTACAGCAGGTCTGAAGTTTGCGCTGGAAGGCGTGAATCTTTTACAAAGGCAGTGTTTTGACGGCTGCAGTAGATGAGGGCTTCAGAGAGGGTTTTACCATCTGGGATGTCTAACAGTTACCGCTAGAAAGCTAAAGCACATCACGCTGTCAGCATACAGAACCCTCTCTGAGAAATCTCCCAATTCAGCCTGTTTGAAGCAGAGATCAACAGAGATCAACTGTTGCTGTGCTCTAGCAGCTTGTGGTCATGTATCAGACGTCCGTCTGTCTTACCAACGTGCTCCTGTGTTATCTGGACTGTAGGGAGATTCTTAATCTTCTCTTTGTCTGCCGGAGGGGGACCCGTATTTTCAAACTGATTTAATAACTACAGGACGACAACAGGGACAAAAAAAAGTGAGTATGTGATAATACTGTTTTTAAATGCACTGATAGTGTTTGCAATAGCAACACGGGGCTCTGTAGAGTTTCACACCCCTTGTGATTATAAAATAAAGCAATAAGCCGCTTGAGGACCTGTGTTATGATGGCATCTAATCCATTGGCACCCCATGCGTAGTCCATTGGGTTTGAGTGCAGCACTCCCCTGTAGGACAACAGTGTAGAGTCCAGTGATCAGCTGTGGATTGTCAAACACTGAGAAATGATGTAAAAAGAGAGAATTTTATCGGGCACTCACCATGGCCCCATCGCCATGTTTGGCATAGCCGTCGGAGCAATAATTCCATTAACTAACTGCTGAATGATTCTGTGAAAACAAACAAAATGAACATTTCAAAAATTTTCAAATGTAACAAAAACATTTTATTCCACCCTTAAACCTGCCAAAATGCTGATAAACATATATACTTTTTTCTTAGTGTACAGCAGAGATGCCCTAAGCAGGGCCTGCGTGATGACCTTTGATTTGGCCAGCATGCCATATCACGAAAGTAGGGGGAAAATAGGGGAAAAAACCATGCTATTTATAATTTTTATATTTATATTTTTGTTTTAATATATTTTTTTTATTTTATTTTTGCATATATTTTTTTTGCATTCACATAAAATATATAAAAATAATTTAAATTTTTTTTAAATTTGATATATTTTTTTAATTATTTAAATTGTAAATATTTTAATATAGTTGTATATAATGGAATATTTACTTTTGGCACATAGCGAGTTTCATTTTTGGCCTTTCGTATTAAAATGTTTGGACACCTCTGGTTTACAGTAATGGCCATAGCATATTATTATTACTACAGTAATAATATTTAATGAGATAGGGTTCCCCACACCTTTTGACCAATGAATTTTCTAAAGTTGATTACTAGGTAAGGTTTTTAAAAAATACTTTTAAAATGTTATAAAAGAGATTACGATCATAAAAACCTCAGAATTAGTAAAAAAAAAATAATAATAATAATAAATATTAATTTTTATTAATTTCTTTAAAATTATGTTCACTAAATAACATTTGTATATATTATTTTTAAATATATATTTCATCTACTTTTTTTACTTTCAGGCCTGGAAATCACATTTTTAAACTATAGTGGGAATCCAGAATAGATAGCTCTTTAATAAATTCAAAAACTTCAATCAATTCAAAATGTGAAACAGACTGAATAAATCTGCAGTACAGAGTCATCTGCTGAATTCTCACCCTTCTAAAGTGGGTACACCCTCATGCCGCGCTCCTTGTCTCCGGGGAACGTGTCGTCCCCGTGGCTGCCTGGCCCCGTAGCGCTGTCGTGAGGCCATCTCCCGCTCTCTGCGGTTCTCTGCATCACGGTTATCTTCTGCTGACAAACCCGCCCTGAAGTCAAAGCCCTCATCGAAGATCCCCAGAGCAAACTGGCCGTAACCATGCGGGAACGTAAACAAGTGCTGGTCCACATTCTGACGGGGAGAGGTAAAGCTTTCATTAGCCTCAAACAGCCAGTGGTTTCACACACACATGATTTTCTTAATGTGGCGTCTGTGGTTTGCTATGCAATACTGGAGGCCTGGGAGAATATTCATCACTGCTTTCAACAATTTATGCTTGCCATCTATTAACTTTGATAGTCTAAATATATATGTTGCCCTGGATATAAGCAGCCGTTAAATGCATATTGTCAAAGTTTGCATTGTGAGCCAGAAATCTCACTTTTTACTTAATATATATGGACCAAAGTTTGCATGGCAAGTGAACTCAGTGGCCAAAAGCAGTTACCGAGATACAGTGGATGACAGCTCACCTCAAACGAGGGCCGGTTCTGATCATTAGAGGCTGTAGATGTGGACCCATTCTCTGCACTGGAAAGAAGAGAAAAAGGTTCAAAGAGAGAGAAAACTTTGGCAAAACAGCAAATGTATATTCAGGAAACTCAGCGTCAACAAAAACTGACAGAAACTATCAAATCTGCACACCATTGTTTTATTTTTCTAATGCATGTAAATATCACATTCACAGCATTTGGAGCTAAACTGCCTTCATCCTGCTGAGGAAATCAATGAGACAAACAGGTTTCCTGATGTGGAAGTTTGGCAAAACCGTAACACTACTTCTGATGTTCCTGTCCAAATGAACCAGTTCTCCAGATGCACGGAAGCAGCAGGTCAGTACTTTACCTTCCCTCTCCAGGCAACTCCTCGATGAAGCCGGACTCACACCGTGGACAGATGTAATCCTGAAAACAGAGGTCAGAACAGCATTTTAACAACTGAATAACTGAATAAACTGAGAAATGTTATTTAAGCAAAATGTTGTCTTGGCACCTAACTGAAATAAATAAATTTACGTTGAAGTACTAAAATTACTAAAAATAAATAAATAAAATAAAGCTAAATAAACAAATAAAACACAATATATTAATATATTAAAATTAAAACTGAAAACAGGGGTCATATGACGTTGATAAAAAATGAAAATTTTTGTGTATTTGGTGTAATGAAATGTGTTTATGCAGTTTAAGGTTCAAAAAAACATTTTCCACATACTGTACATTATTGTTACTCCTCTATGCCCCACCTTTCTGAAACGCGTCAATGGGCAATGTTTTCAGCATTTAATCAGATTTCAGTCAGAAATAACAAAAACTCTGCTTTATAACCATCAAATATGGATAACAAAGATCAACTGAGAAAGTAAGCAATGTTGGTATACTTTTTAAACGTCATAAGCCATTAACAAACAACAGATCAATAGTTAATTAAGTAAAATATTAAATAAAACATTTCATTAAAAGTTTCATGACATGTCTAGTAACAAGAACACTGCTCCGGGTGTGTGTTCACGGTGTGTGTGTGTGTTCACTGCTGTGTGTGTGCACTTTGGATGGGTTAAATGCAGAGCACTAATTCCAAGTATGGGTCACCATACTTGGCCACATGTCACGTCACTAAGAAGAATGTCTACTGACGTTGAGAATTACGCATTACATAATGTTTGTTAATGTTATTAATAAGTAGGGATGGGTATTGTTAAGGTTTTAACGGTATTACTACTCTTACCGATACTGCTTATCGATTCGGTACTTTAACGGTATTCTTATCGGTACTTTTTGTTTATATATATATATATATATATGTATATATATATGACAAATTAAGAGCTGACATATTTTTGTGTGTATTTGATCGATTGGACATGCGCACGAAGCTCAAAGTGTAATTTGTATGTCCGTTTTGGAGCACGCCGCGCGCACACATTTCAGCCTGAGGAACTCTTGTGTGGATTGTGCTTTCAACGTTTTATTATCAAACATGTCCCGCAATTTAGCAACAGTAAAGAAAGATAATGTATATATAGCAATAATAAATGTATGTGTGTTTTATTAATTTCTCCAGTACCGATAGCAGAACCGTTAACGTCAGAGCTTATCGATACTCCGGTCTTTCATAATTTAGCCCCGGGACCGATTAAATACCGGGTTTCGGTATCCATCCCTATTAATAAGAGTATTATTAAACTGTAGTGTTTAGTTTGCAGATCCATGATGACTACTGACATGTGGAAATCATCTGTCATGAAAACACATGAAAAACAGCACAGTCCAATACATAGCGCAGATTAATTTTCTTGCCTGGTTTATACAGTGATCTAAACATAAAAAGAAACTAGATGCAGAAGAGTTTGCCTGATCTGATCAGAAATCTGCGATCCGGACACACGGACCCAGCGCTCGAATTGAGCAGATTTCCACAAAACTGTGATGGCTGTCATTCATAAAGCTCCACACATCTTCAGCCCCTTTACGTGTTTGGATCGGAAATATTTTGCCTAATAGGATATGCTTTCACATAGTACATTTAACACATTTTATCACAAATCATCACAAATGAATTCTGCAGAATTCCCTAAATTATACGTGCAGATTCCGGCTGGTCCTGTATCATGACCTCCAGCTGACCTGCAGCTCTCTGTCCTGTTTGGGCTCTTTCTAGAGGCTCCACACAATAACAGGAGGATAATAACACCACAGAATGATGAAGAGACAAGCAAAAGAGCTTTCTAACGCCATCCATTCTCTTCCCACCCCCCCTCTGAAACCTCATACAAGGAGCGGCACGTGCGGAACAATCTCTGGCCTCATATTTCCTGACAGCTAGAGATGATAGTATGCGTGAAACTGACCAATTAAACAGATCTGTGGTTTAAGATGAACTCCTGACGTGTCCTGGGTCATTCAGACCAAGTGCAGCTGACAGTGAATTAAGGCAGTTTTACGAATAACATCATCCCTCTCCAACCGAATTAGCTTCATTTATTATGAGTGTCAGCAGAAAGTTGTAGAGCCAGAGTGTGTGAGCTTCACTGGCACATGCTGCGTGTTCAAACCAACCAAAAACCACTGGAGAAAGAACCACCAGGCTTATTTTAGTACAATTGAGACACTTTTTTATTTAACTGTTTATTAAAACGAATTACACACTATTTATTAATATTTTTAAATATTTTTAATTTTAACGTTTTTAATGTCTACATAGTTTTATTAATTTTCATTTCAGTTTTAGTTATTATACTAGTTATATAACTAAATTTTAGTTTATATTATTTCAAGTAACAAAAATATATGTGTGTGTGTGTGTGTGTACCTGTTTTTCTATTCTGGTGGGGACTTAAACCTGAATACACACAGACTCATGGGGACTCGTGTCACGGTGGGGACCTAAATTGAGGTCCCCACGGGTAAACAAGCTAATAAATCACACAGAATGAAGTTTTTTGAAAATCTAAAAATGCAGAAAGTTTCCTGTGAGGGGTAGGTTTAGGGGTAGGGTTAATGTAGGGCAATAGAAAATACGGTCTGTACAGTAGAAAAACCATTACGCCTATGGAGAGTCCCCACAAGGATAGCAAACCAGACGTGTGTGTGTGTTTAATGGTTTTAGTTTTATGCTAGTGTCAGGGGCTCTTTTTTTTTTAAAAGATCAAATTTATTTATTTTTTAATCGCAAATCAGATACCAAAACCACATGAAACACAGATCAATAAGACCAATTAGACCAACTTACACATCAACGTGTCAGTTTCATGAGTCAAAAAGACACCGGCAAGAAAACTCGACTGACAGAATTAGTCAGTAATAAACTGGCCTTCAGTAACACAGCAAAGAACATTATCAGACACCTGAACCGTCCACATGTGCTATCAAAATCTCACCAATTTGAAATCAAAGATCATAACCTCATTTTAATACTACAATAATTAGATAACAGTCTAGATAACAGCTGTCTATATCAGAAACCTAAAGCACACATAAAAAAAGCCATCAGCATTTCAACAATTAATAAACCCTGGTTTTCTTAACATTTGATATGACTTGTTAACCAAACTAACCAGTAGCTCTCATAACAATTAGCCTTCTGTCAACTAAACCACATGAATCACAGAAAACCAACCATGAAACAACCTTTGAACAACTTAAACACCTAAACACAGTCTTACAATAAGTAGGCCTAGTTAAAAACACAAAAAAAACTAACCAGCTGATCACATAATAACCAGCCATCTGTTTCACCCAATAACAGATCAAAACACATCACAAACATCAGCATCTAACCAACAGTCTCTTATCATAATTAGTTAATCAAATCTAACTAGTTGATCTCTAATAGCCACCAGCTTTCAGTGATAGGCAATTAAACGACAGGACAGATCAGAGACCAAAATCAGAGCTATGAACATCTGAAACTTTATAGCAGAACGGTATTAATCGCAGAATATTTAACAAATAACATAACTAGGCCTAGTTACCCAGCTAACCTCATAACTAGCTCTCTCTTCAGACCAAGTAAACCACATGATCTACAGATCAGACCAATGAACCACATATGAAACACAAGTCAGACGCATTTTACAAGATTATAACTAAATACCATCATGTCAATATTAAATGATTTACTATGACTAACGTTAGTGAGTGAAAGTACCGAGTTCATGTCATAACAAGCAGTCTTCTGGTTTGACAGGTTATTCAAACAGCAGAGCTCTGGAAAGATCTTTAATCTGCGCTCAGATCTGCCAAGAGTCCGTCTGATTAAACTCTCACCTCTCCAGTTAAGTGTAATTCAATTAAATCCGCATTTTAAACCTGATTGTTGCTATTGGCAACTAGCAGCCTGTTAGCCGTTAGCACAGCCAGCGCGGAGAAACGCGCAATAAAAGAGGCCGTTTGCTCCGTTACACCCATCCATACCGCTTCAGAACGTTCGGGCGAGGCTTGTTAAGACCGCGGCGTCTTACCGGGAGCCGAGGGCTGATCTCTTCCGAGCACCGGTGACAGAAGAACCGGCAGGGCCGCAGGGGAGCTTCCGCCATCTTCGCTGCAGGACCGACTGAGAGCCAGAACGAGGCGAAGTATGGAAGCCCGGACGGAGCAAGAACTAGTGCTGTGCGTACGGACGACGGAACGCGTTTGGGAAAATTCAGGCAGCGACACTCTGCAAAACCTTCTTCTTCTTCTTCTTTTTGTTCAATGGCCGTTCACTCCTTAGGAGTATTACCGCCCTCTGCAAAACCTCTTCAAATCAGAACATGTTATACAGTAAAAAATAAAACATCCTTGAAACAATATAAACTTAGCTTAACATTTTCATAGGACAGGCCAATTTCGAAATATAGAATTTTATTTATTTATTTAACTTTTTAACCACGGTAAAAAAAAAATTTTTTTCAAAAATAACTTTTATTACACATCAGAAAATAAATACGCTGAAAGTGACACCTCGTGGAGAAAGAGGGACTCGACGAATGTATTTTAAGCCATTATAAACTCTAATAAACAGATCCATTTAACCATTTAAAGACCTCATCATGACTGAGTTATGTCAGTTTTCATATACTGTAATAATTTATATCTAATAGAGAGATCTTTTGTTGTGAATATTATAAATGTGTGTAATGCCATTACCATCCTGCAGATGGCGCTAAAGCATTTACACCATTCAGAAACACAACACTGTTCAGTCATTGAGTATTACGTATTTATAACACTTAAAAATAACACGAAAACATAATACTTTAAGAGTTTGAGATCTCCTTTAGAGAAAAATATTTCACAGATCTCTAAGTCAATGAAGTATATAGGCCTCAATTAGTTTTAGATCATTTTTGAAATAAAAAATTATGTATGAAAATGAACAATAAAGATAAATATATAAAACATTAATAATTTCATTCAGTTCAGGGTTATATAAAAACGATATATACATATTTAAAAACAAAATTATTCAAACTTTAACTAAAATTAAAACAGAAAAATATAAAAATAAAAACTAAATCAAAATATTAATAAAACTATAATAGTTATCGACTACAATATTTAGTAATACTAAAATAATTTAAATAATTTTCAGTTATAAAAATAACGGAAATGTATGCAGCAATTTAAGCTCAACTTGAATTTTGCAGCACTTTACTGAACCTCTCAAAGGTTTTAAAGCAAGAATAGTAAAAGTGTGTCTGAAAGTCAGACAAAGAAAGTCTTTGAGGTCACTAGAGAAGCATGCAAACACACACACACACACACACCTGTCAGCTGTGCTGTTAATGAGGTCTGACTGATGCTGACTACATCTGGCTGTCATGATGCATTTATGCCAACTTACATTGAGAGTTTGTCAGAGACGAGAGCTGCGGTGAGGGATTCACACCAGAATAACAGAATAACTGTTCATGTGAACAGGAAATGAACTAGTTTGGAGGACGGCCAATGAACTAGTTTATGGGTAGGTGACATATTGAGAGACTTCATGGAATGTAGTTTTAAAAATTAATTTGCCAGGACTATTTTTAAATAGTAAATATTTTAAATAGTGTCTATAGAATATTTAACAAATATTTTAAAAAGTGAAATGCAAAATTGCAAAATGTTTTTAAAAATAGTGAAAACCTTACAAGTTTCTCAGTTAATAAAATGTGTTCTAAGAATGTTTCCCATTATGTTATGAAAATGCTTTCTGAATGTTCTCTAAATGTTCTTAAAGTCCATTTTTTAAAAATGCATTAAAAAACGTTTTTTTTTCTTTGTTATTCGACATTCCATTTAGTCATTTTGCAAACATTAGGGGAATGTTACTTTTGAATGTTCCCTGAACATTCCGAAACAAGTAGAAACATTTAAAAACGTTACACAAATGTCCAAAACATTTTAGAACAAAAACGTTCTATGAAACAATGTATAAATTACATTTTTGTGCTGATGTTTTGAGAACATTACTAAAGACCAGATAACTTTAAATGAAAATTCTATTAGCATTACTGGAAACATTTTGTTCATAACTTTAAGATAACATAGCCAGAACGTTCTGACAACATGCCCATCTAAAATACACACTTCCCTTTTATATTCAGATATATTTTAACCTAAACTTTGATTGTTGGATAAAATAGCATCCATGTTGTTTTCCATTTGAAAAAAAAAAAAAAACATTTAACTCAAACACTCAAAAAAACTCCAAAACTCAAACTGTATAAAACTGTATAAAAAATACAGATGAAATCTTTTTTCATTTCAAATCATCAAATCAAAATGTTGTACAACAAACAGCAGTGAATGAATTTGAAAACAAACACAACAGTTTACTTTAGTTTTTAATAGTTAAACCAGAAATATGAATATGAAATGGGAACTATATACAGATGGAACATGATTTGAATGAGAATCGACCTCTACATGCTGCTTTAATAATTCACAAACAGTATTGATAACTTACAAAAAAAAAAAAAAAAAAACGGGACCTTATTTTCCAAAAGACAAGAATAAGAAACAAGATCTGTAAACAAGAACAGAAATGGCCAGAAGTGTTTTATACAATAAAACAGCAGATGAAGTGTGTACAGTCAGTGTTGAGCTCTCAGATGAGGCAGTTCATGCATTTGATGGCTTTACTGCCGTAGTCCAGACATTCAGGTCCGATACACTCACAGCAGGCGTTATGAAACCAGCGGTACTTTGATCCGCCCATCGACTCGCAGTACTGCTTACACTGACGGATGGACACGCAGTCATCAAAGTAGACCACCGTACACAAGGCATCTGAGGAATGAGAGCAGAGCCAGAGGAACACATCACAGACGAGCATGTGTAAACCAGAGACACGCCAGAGATGAGAAGAGAAGAGCAGAGCAGAGCAGAGCAGAGCAGAGAAGAGAAGAGATGAGATGAGATGAGATGAGATGAGATGAGATGAGATGAGATGAGATGAGAAGA